GATTGATCCCCATCTAACAAACGATGAACTCATCATCTATCTATAGTTCATTTGAGATATCTATTTGAGTTAGTAGAAATGACACACTACATTCGTTTTAGGTTGCCATCCGTCAAAGCTAGAACAGCTTCACAACCCAACGTCATATACAGCACCTGAAATCCAACCAAACAACAGAAGTGATGTCCGAGCTAAGTTTGCAAAATCTTCTACACGGAGGCAACATGCTCGACACAGAAAACAGCGGATTCACCAGAAAAAGATCTCGACTTAACGAATGATACAGGAAGTCGAGGGTAAACAAAGACGGAAATTTCTTTTCAAGAGATTCACAGTAAAAAAGAGATTTTGACCAATTGATGTAATAAAGAGAAACAGGAAGTCGTACCTCGCGGCCATTCCGAGATAATCCTTTCCTTGAGCATGGCAACGGTGGAGGAAGAAGTGTAGCATATCGGACCGATGTCGGATCCATCACACAGCCGGAACTTGAGCTCGACCAAATCCTCTTCTGGCATTTGTCCTCTTCAATCTATTACCAATCAAATCCAAAACAAGAAATGGAAAAAAGGGCAATCAAATAATGACCTATTAGTTCATCCACCAGCAAGAATTCCCGTGCTAGAACAAAATACAAGTCGGCAAACAAAGAAAAAGAAGCCGTACCTTCTGTAGCGGAATCGAGAAGGAACGGCGAGGCCGAGAAGCGCAAGAGATCGGATGGGGGGGGTGCGGGGGTGCAGGATCCGCGAAACCAGGAGTGGATCGAAGGGAATACCTTGTGGAAGAAATCCTCAGATGGATTTCGACAATAAATTATCAGGATTAGGGTTAAAGAGCGGAAGCGCTTGATCCGAAGAAGGAAAGTGGGAATCAACGAATATATGAACGATTGATACACTGTACGTAATACTTTCACGTGCTGTGACGGGAGGATGGTGGGCTCACAGGGCATGCTCCACTGACAAGGCAGTCAACTCCGACGGGTTTCTGTACAATATTGTTGGAATCATTCACAGTACGATTATTATATTCCTGCAAACTGAAAAATTTACGGAAAGCTTGCATGACTGACTGGTCAACGTAATATTGACCGATACCCTTTTTTTTCTGTCATTTAGCCTCTTTTTACTTGACAGTTTAAAAAGTTGTCATTCTATTTTCGCTGAAAACATGAAGGGAGAAGAGAAGATAAACAAACTTATACATATAGCATTGCTTTTTTACTTTTTTAGATTAAATCAGTTGCTAAGTCTATGTACTTTTAAGTGATAATATATGCTACATTAAAGTAAAAGGATATCTTTGTAGCAGCCCATCGGTATCGGTATCGGTATCGGTATCGGTGCTGGGCGTTTGACCACAGAAGAAAACAGAAACGTAGAATGGTCAATAAAGCATGTAGTCTGAGGCACGACGTGGGGCCTCGTCGCCAACCATTTTGTAAGACATAAAAGTAGAGCCACACAATGCTTAGCGTAGTCTGAGGCTGCTCTGCTGCCGCGTAGACGACCGCAGAACCCTTTAAAGTCTCTTTTATATTCGTGCGACTCACCCTCTTTCATTATGAGAAAAAACATAATCTCATTTCTCGATCACACGATCTAAAAAACACTAGATTAATTTTTTTATAAAAAAATCCAAAGAAAATTTTCTGATGGTTAAGATACACTGCACTCACTACTGCAGGTAAGAAGATTGTTTCTACTATCTGTATTTTGATCACTTGGATCATGATTAGGCCACTGCAACATATGAATCATATATCCAACGTGATGTGAACGAAATTGGTTCCTAGGAAACAAGCTATGAGTTGAAAAGGCAATGGCAATTTACCTATGACGTTGCGTATGAGTTGAACCGAGTAACAGCCTCTGTAAAATGGCCCTTGATGCATGCAGCAAGCATTCACACACCAGGAACATAACCCTCTGTGGATGATAGATGGTGCTCCTGGCAAGTCCGCAAGCATGCTGACAACAGTTTGGTCTCCACAGGCATCGGAATTCTTTCACTGGCTAATGATTTTTAGGGTTTTGACACGATCTTCCCTGGATCTACAGAAGGCCTGCAGGTGGCTTTCGACGACATCGCCATTCTCTGTTAGAGTAACACCATAGGATTTTAGTCTCTGGATATCTCGAGGAATGGGGCTTTGCCACTCACCATCCCACCAGGCCGGTGGGAGGAGTGGCGTTAGGGCACACTGGTGGGGCTGGTGGCGACAGCTCAGAGGACCAGCAAATCTGTTCCAGATGTGGCCCCATCCAATCTGGTTTCTGAGACCATCAACCAACAGGTTACTCTGGAAGCTGCTGAAGAACTTAAAGTTGGTGCCAGAGGGATCTTTACCTGTGAAGCCAGAGAGCTGACCATTACTCACAAGATAGGGGATCGAGATGAAGTTGCGGGGAACATACCATGTCGATTTGCTGCTGCCAGTGCTGCAATCAGCTGTGCATAAGTTGTACCAACACGACGGTGTGCTCCGGAAACCACAGCATGTTTGGCTCGCGATGCTAGGAAGAAATCCACAAATGCCACCCATCTGGGTGCAGGGCCCCAGTCCTTGACTCTAAAATCAGACTGAAGATAAAAAAAAGAGTCAACTTGTAACTGTTATTGGTTTCTAAATGAATGCAGTAGGTGAGTCAATAGAAAGGGGAATCAGGTAACAAGTTTCAGACAACAGGTCAAACTTGTCAATTCGGACAAGATTTCGGTAGAACACAAAAGAGTACCGGACAATCCTAACCACAAAAATGTGATAATCCAGAAGTGATGACAAAAATCCATCTTTTCACCGGAAAGGGACCAAGTTGTAAAAATACAGAAGAAACCCAATCACCATCCGAATGGTAGATTATTTCTGATGAACAATAGAGTTTACTTCCAGCAAGAAAAGATAAGGAACCAGAGTCAAAGACTACAAACATGGTTTTAGATATAAATCGAAGATTAAAGGAAACAAGGGATGTATGATGCTGCTTTTGCATTGCTGTCAATATGATCTTGTAAAACCATTCAAATTAGGCATGATACCTGCTTTAGTGTGCCCATGTTCCCAACAGAACTATTCCCCTGGAAGAACTTGTAATTAAAATGAAGTACCTGTTCAAAGTGAAAGTTAGTCAAAATGCATCTTTTATTGAAATAAAGAACTGGTAATGAAAGTATTCATGTTTGCATTTGTTCGTGTTGTGTTCCATTTCAACAGAATATCAAGTCAAACCTACATGAAAGGGGAACTAATGACCATCCATTGCCAAAAAAAAAAAACAAAAGAAGAGATTTTTACTTCTGCAAATTCAGCCAGGTAGGGAGTAATCTCCGTGATGAACGATGGTGTATCAGAGACCAAAACCACCCTAGGTTTTGCAATCTGCTGCTGAAAGCTGCTTAGTGCCCTCTTGATGCATTGTACTGCAGCCTGTATTGCTCGTATAGACCTTAGAACAGCATCCAAGATAGTTTTAGTAAGTCATTGTAAGTTTGAGACTTCAATTAAACCATATACATGATTTTTTTCAATTGCAGATTAATTACAGTTGCTGATGTTCTCACCAAATATGGCAAGTTGTTCAACAAGTATCATAACAAGGAATTATTAGGGCATTGTTTTGAAACCAGAGAGATACTGCTTGCTCAAAGGCCAAGGAGTAAAGTTTCAAGACCAGTGATTATAGTCATACTGCCCAATTAATGAAGCATCAGAGGTTTAAGGCAAAACCAGTTACCTGTTAGTCATCATCCGCATGTGAAGCACAACATCAGGATCCGCACCTTGCAAAACCCAATCAACAGCTTCTTCAATCGTTTGTGTAGGAGATAGAATTACATGCATCAGCTCACCAAACACATTAGGCCTAGATTCTAGCGAGTCTTCCCGCCCAAATAGAACTAAAGCAGCATTTTTCATTTGAGGATGTACATTCTTCAAAAAGAACTGAATGGCCACTGCATCTGTCGTGCCTTGGAACCTGTAGCTAACAGAATCTACAGTCAGATCCGGTCCACACCATTAAAATCGATGGTTTTATGAGTATTCAGAAAAAAAGATCAAAATTGACCAAAAAATTAAAGCCTCGGGTGGCTCTCATGCTATGGCTCAGAGGAAAAAAATTAGATAGAGCAGCACACAAGTGCTTAAAGTAAACAACAAATAATAACCAATTTGGCATAAAACAACGATGAAGCTGGCAGATAATGTGTTCCATATTTTTGTCTTTTTTTTTCTTCCATGTCAAAACATGATACAAAATTATTTTTCAGGAGGGAAAAACATGCGCTAGGTTTGACTTTCCCACTTAAGAAAAAACAAATTAAAAAGATGAGGCATTTAACTCAGAAAAGATAACCTAGAAAGTAAAAACAAGCCTTATTTGATATGGAAGGGTATGATTAACCATGGTCCTACAAGGGAAGAGTTTTGTATGTTTTGTCATTTCTTTAGTATTGGATAAAAAACTTGTATGAATTTTTTATACAACATCCTGATAGCATAACAGAATCCTGAAATCTGTGAAGTCTGTAAACACAACCATTAGTATAATTTACCATACAAGTTACTTCAACATGGACTCACCAGATGATAGGATGCTTCCAGCTCTTCCAATCACTACAAAGAACATTTGTCTCTGCTGGATGTTCGAAGTTATCAATTCTCATTATTAATCTCCTCCCATATTTAACAGCACAATCATGCTTTCTCCATAAATGCTTGACTTCTTTCAGAGTAAATGAAATGTTGGTAAAAGAAATGTAATCCCCAAAAGGATACAGCTGCCTGTAAGAAAAAAATGAAGGCTCTCTACTGAGAACATTCTTCCAATTAATATAGCCTATTAATTCGTTCTTCAGTTATCACAAACATCAGGCAACATATTAATAAATTGTATACTGCATCATTTACACCAAAGAAGCAGAGTCCTAACAAGTGATGATAGGAGGTAGCAATATGCATGAATACTGAAAAAGGTGATTGATCAAACCAAGAGTAAAAATACAAACTGAATATTCAGAGAGTTATTCAAAAAACTTTTATATCCTTCCAATGTTAAGCATTCACAAAGCCACTTGCATAGAAGAACATAGCTGAAGGGAGTATTAATATGCCTGGTTTGCCCAATGATCAAGGATCGATTTAGCATAACACTTAAAGCTGCTGCAGTTAAAATCTTGTATATTTCATTTCCAAAACCCGCCTCTGATGCCTTGCCTATCACAAAACCTTGTCGACAAAACTGGTGTGCAGGTAGCTCTCGTACTCTAGCAGCCCCTGACAAGTTAAACAAGTAAAGCTTTCACTTTGAACCTATTTCTTGACTTACCTATTCAAAATTAGAGCAGATGGTGATTTTTGATATGATTAAAACAGTCAAAGCCTTCTCAACATTCTCATTTTTCAAGTATTTGGCAAAGTTAAGCTGAACTCAATTCAGTTAATATGCACAATTCAGTTGATTAATTGCAAACATATAAGTAACCAACTAAGCTCTAAAATATTAGTTTCTTCAGCACATTTTAATCATTAAAAATGAGGCTGAAATTTAATCAGGTGACTTTCCCAACTCAAAATTTTGGCATTACTTTCCAGAAATTATTTTTAAAAAATAGTAGCTAAAGGTCTTAAATTTAAAAAGGAACAACAAAATTATATCAAACCCAGATATGCTGAAAGGTGAAAATCTACAAGGAAGCATCATAAACATTGAACAGCAAGTAGGTCCCATAAATAAAGAGACAAGTTGATTATCTTCCAAGAAGATTGAAGTGTTCAACATGTGGACACCTAAAAGTAAGACATCGGCTTAAGATAAATGTAAGAAAAAACATATAAAACTCAAGAGCATAAGCATATAAATGCAAGATATACAACAGTGTGACAACTTTAACCAATCATACGATA